TTATATTGAACAGGATTTATATATTAATATTATTATACAGGATTTATATATTATTATTATTCTTATTATTATTATAAAGGATTTATATATTATTATTATTATACAGGATTTATATATATTATTTATACAGGATTTATATATTATTATTATTCAGGATTTATATAGCGCCAACAGTTTGCTCAGCACTTTACACTATATCGGAAGACAATACAGCAACAATACAGTTCAATACAAGAGGGATAGGAGGGCCCTGATCCTGGGAGCTTACAATCTAGGAGTATAGGATTGGCATTCACCATTTTTACACAGTTTTGTCCTTGAGCGCAGAGCATAATTTTTTTTTTTCTATATCGCACTTCCTGTCTTAGGGTGACCACACTCACTCATTTTGTTTATAAAAGAATGGTGTTGTCACCCTAAGATAGGACGTTATTTGGGCCTCATGCACCCTGGGCATTTTTACCCCCGGTTCCCATAAATGCAGCTGTGCGGTCCGCGTTTTGTGCGGGCACAAGAGCCCATTCATTTGAATGGACTCCCGTGCCCGGAACACGAAGGGAAGACGTCCCCGCACTTCTTTAGAAAACGCAGCCCACACGAGAACCTCGGGTCCCAGTACGATTGCGTCTTTCAGTGCGGGCGGCGTGCCATTAGAATTAATGGCAACCGCCCGCGGGTCCACATTCCTCTGTGCGGGTGGTGCGGCTGCATGGATTTTTGTGCAGACCCGCAGAGGCACCACCCGCACAGATGTGAACCGGGAGTAAAGCAGCTGTTTTTGGCTTCTGGCGTTTTTGTTCTACAACCAGTAAACCCCCCAGCATGCTATCCAATGTGTCCATAAACACATAAAGGGACGTTTTTTGGCTGGAAAAAAAGCCCCCATAACTACTTGTTTTCAAGAGGAGTTTTTTAGCTGTAAAATCGCTCTAATGTTGTAAACGCGGTAAAAACGTGACAAACTGGCGTTTTTGAGTGTTTTTTCAGCCAACAATTTTTTTTTGTTTTGTGTAAAAAAGTAAAAAAAGACAAAAACAAAAAACGCTAACGTGGAAAAATGTGGCTAAACGCTAATGCAAATACGCAGAAAAACTTAATGCAACTTTATACAGCTAATGCTACCAGTGTTTTTAAAACAACTGGTGTGCATGGGATCTTACCCCAGGGTCACACCTATGCGTTTTCCAGAAACGCACTGCAGTCCATTTTAACATGATTCCCTACGGGGCACGTTCATATCTCCGCGTTTTCACCCGGGGGGTTTTTTGGAAAGGGTCGGGGACTTTTTTGAATGCAAAAAGTTGCGTTTTTGTTGCTATAGACTTCAATGGAAATGCTGCAGAGAAGCATGTAGTGCGTTTTTGCTGTGTTTTTGCTGCGTTTTGTGTTTTAAATCTGTCTAGCAACAAGAAAATAAACTCAAAACGTGGCAAAAACGCAAGATGCAATGAAGGTTCAAACGCAAACTGCACAGGTGTGAACCTACTCTTAAAGCAAATTTGCATTTTTAATGTTTTCATTTAGGCATTACAAAGATTACTGCTCCCCTCAAAAAATGTGTAAAATATTTTTTTTTGGCTTTGGTATATGTTTAGCATTGGCAGTGCCCAGCCCCTCCCATACAACCACCCCCCCGCCCCCCCATTTCTCCCAACTGTACTCTCTGCTCCTCCCAAGACCTCCTGCTCTCTAGCTCCCTTGTCTCCTCCTCCCATGCTCGTCTCCAGGACTTCTCCAGAGCTTCCCCCATCCTCTGGAAACTCTCTACCCCAATTTATCAGACTATCGCCTACTCTGCTCACTTTTAGGCGATCTCTGAAAACCTCTTCAGGGAAGCCTATCCTGCCGTCAGCTAATAATGGAATCTTCTATTCCTCCTACCAGTCCATCCCCCACAGTTACTACCTTTTGTACCACCAGTCCCTCCCTTCTAGATTGTAAGCTCCAAGGATCAGGGCCCTCCTAACCCTCTTGTATTGAACTGTATTGTTGCTGAGCAAACTGTTGGCGCTATATAAATCCTGTATAATAATAATAATAATAATAATAATAATATATAAATCCTGTATAATAATAATAATATATAAATCCTGTATAATAATAATAATATAAATCCTGTATTAAAATAATAATATATAAATCCTGAATACTAATATAAATCCTGTATAATAATAATAATAATATAAATCCTGTATTATAATAATATATATAATCCTGTATAATAATAATAATAATAATAATAATATAAATCATGTATTATAATAATATAAATCCTGTATAATAATAATAATAATAATAATAATATAAAAATCCTGTATAATAATAATAATAATAATATAAATCCTGTATAATAATATAAATCCTGTATAATACTAATAATAATAATATAAATCCTGTATAATAATAATAATATAAATCCTGTATAATAATATAAATCCTGTATAATAATAATATAAATCCTGTATAATAATATAAATCCTGTATAATAATAATAATAATATAAATCCTGTATTATAATAATAATATAAATCCTGTATAATAATGTAAATCCTGTATAATAATAATAATAATAATATAAAATCCTGTATAATAATAATATATAAATCCTGTATAATAATAATAATAATATAGATTCCTGTATAATAATAATATAAATCCTGAATAATAATAATAATATAAATCCTGTATAATAATAATAATAATATAAATCCTGTATAATAATAATATATAAATCCTGTATAATAATAATAATAATATAGATTCCTGTATAATAATAATATAAATCCTGAATAATAATAATAATAATATAAATCCTGTATTATAATAATAATAATATAAAATCCTGAATAATAATTTCTTTGACCATGCTTTGCTTATTAGCCTAGAAAAGGGTCATTTCTAACATTCGTCTCCCATTGACCTCATGGAGGTTCACATTGATGACACTTGCCGCACCCGCCCCAAACCGCACCCAGGTGTCATCGGGCCATCGCCAACTTTTTTTTTTTTTTTCCGTCTTTTCTTTGTTGTTTTTTTGGGATTTAGATACTTCAATCTCAGTTGGCAAAGCCGCCGTTGTATGTTTGTAGCCTTCATGCCAGCACATGAAGGGTTAACAAATATTAACTTTATTACCTTTTATCGCCCTCCCCCGCTTGTGTTCCCCACCAATTTAATTAAGGCAAAGTGCTCGGTGTCCTCTGGATGTTGTAACCGGGTGAGTTATTGTCAGCTGAATGGGATTTACCCAGCGCTGCGAACCAGGCATTAATCTCGCCGTCCTGGCAGATGGAATTGTCTGCGAAGACGTGAAGGGCCCATCATCTTCAGAGACGGGAAAAAAAAAACAAACTGTCAGCCGTATAGTGCGGACCAATAAGAAAAGTGCGTCTTGTTGCACCAGGGCCGCCATTTTAACGTATATTATAGGATGGAGATGGAAGTAGCTGCCTTTAATGCCAAGGCCATAATTTTTTTCCTCAATTTGCTTACATTTTATTTTCCCAGGTTCCCCCCCCCCCCCCCCATCAACAGGCTAATTTTTTTATTTTTTAATAAAAGCTTTTGTACTTTTATTATACGGCTTATTTTAGACCCATTGAAGTTATCACTGGGTCTCTGTGCTTCTCTATGCAGTGCAGGCAGATCGTGGCTGGGGGGAAGGGCTGACAGGGTGCTGCACGTAGCTTCCTCAAACATCACAGCACAACTCCAGTACTCCTTTCGTGAGCCCTCAGCCCTGCTATGGGCAGTGGGAGGAGTTATGCAAATCTCAAAATGCCTCAATGAGTGGATGTTGGTCTGGAGCAGTGGGTATTTCTCAGCAAGCTGTATACGTGTGCAGACCACCCTAGGGAACACGCCTTGTTGTTGCTGAGCCTCCATGATTTAAAAGGACTGAAATCTAATGAAGGACTGAAATCTAAAGGGGCGGGTCAGAGACTGTTAGGCTGGGGGAGGAAAGGGCGAGATGATGCTGGACGTCCTCCAGCCAGGAAATAAGGCGGAGCTCTTTCTGACTTGCTGCAGCTTCCAATGCACATTGTGAGATGCTGACAGTGTGCAGTGAAATCAGAGGAAGCCAGAGAGGAGACGATACAACTGTGCAAGGCTGAAGGGTGGATGTAAACCCCAACGATTAATTTTTCCTATTTGCTCCCATTTTATTCACATTTGTTCAATAAGCCTGTTGATCCTGCCAGAAATCTTGTGAGTTCCTGACGTCCTCTGCCCCTACTACTCTGTTATCTGCTATTAACTGCACTACATGCTATTGTACATTATGATGAGGATAGGGGGAGGTGTTCTGTAGTCCCATTCTAGGGTGACAACACTGCTCCATAAATAAATACAGTGAAGAAGTGTTGTCACCGTAGGAGGTGTGTTAGTGGCAGGATCACCAGAGAAAACATGAGTAAAGAAAACGAATGCAGCCTCCACGTCTAAGAACTGGTAATCTGCAATACATAAATGTCTGTTTTTGGATTTAGAAATGGTTTAAAGTGTTACTGAACCCGCAACAGTACAATCAGTCTGTAGATGCAGTAAATCATGCTTGTTATACTCACTGTGGAACCTAAGGGGTTAATCCTCTGCAATGTGTAAAAAGGCTGTTTGATCCTGTCTTCTCTGATCCTCCTCTTTTTGAAATGACCACCTGATACAGACTGAACCTGTAGCCCTTCTGCTCAGTTTGGTGTGTGTTGCTAGAGAGGTTTTTTTTTTTTTTCTTTTTCTTGGGAGAGTGCATGTGATCAGCACAGGGCCAATCAGCACTGTCCAGACAGAGGTCAGAGGTTCTGCATCCTCCTAGAGCAGAAAGAAAACTCCTCCTACAAGCTTTAGCTAGTGGTGTGCTGGACACTGATAGAAGTCACAAGACTGCTATATACTGCTGATGAGAAAAGGTATTTAGCAGTTTACAGTTACTAAAATAATTGCATTTCCATGTTGTGTGTACTGTGGGAGATATAGTGCATGCAGGGTCCGGGGGAGACCAGATATAGTGAATGCAGGGTCCGGGGAGACCGGATATAGTGAATGCAGGGTCCGGGGAGACCGGATATATAGTGAATGCAGGGTCCGGGAGAATGCAGGGTCGGGGAGATATATAGTGAATGCAGGGTCCGGGGAGAGCAGGATATAGTGAATGCAGGGTCCGGGGAGACCGGATATAGTGAATGCAGGGTCCGGGGAGACCGGATATAGTGAATGCAGGGTCCGGGGAGACCGATATAGTGAATGCAGGGTCCGGGGAGACCGGATATAGTGAATGCAGGGTCCGGGGTCCGGGTGAATGCAGGGTCCGGGGAGACCGGATATAGTGAATGCAGGGTCCGGGGAGACCGGGGAGACCGGATATAGTGAATGCAGGGTCCGGGGAGACCAGATATAGTGAATGCAGGGTCCGGGGAGACCAGATATAGTGAATGCAGGGTCCGGGGAGACCAGATATAGTGAATGCAGGGTCCGGGGAGACCAGATATAGTGAATGCAGGGTCCGGGGAGACCAGATATAGTGGATCCGGGGTCCGGGGAGAATCCGGGGTCCGGATATAGTGAATGCAGGGTCCGGGGAGACCAGATATAGTGAATGCAGGGTCCGGGGAGACCAGATATAGTGAATGCAGGGGTCCGGGGAGACCGGATATAGTGAATCCGGGGTCCGGGGAGACCGGATATAGTGAATGCAGGGTCCGGGGAGACCAGATATAGTGAATGCAGGGTCCGGGGAGACCAGATATAGTGAATGCAGGGTCTGGGGAGACCGGATATAGTGAATGCAGGGTCCGGGGAGACCAGATATAGTGAATGCAGGGTCCGGGGAGACCGGATATAGTGAATGCAGGGTCCGGGGAGAGCGGATATAGTGAATGCGGGGTCCGGGGAGACCAGATATAGTGAATGCAGGGTCCGGGGAGACCGGATATAGTGAATGCAGGGTCCGGGGAGAGCGGATATAGTGAATGCGATGTCCGGGGAGACCGGATATAGTGAATGCAGGGCCCTGGCAGACCAGATATAGTGAATGCAGGGTCCGGGGAGACCAGATATAGTGAATGCAGGGTACTGGAAGCAGTAACACTTTAACTAGAGGGTGAAGGTTGTTGAAGCCTCTGAAATTTATTTGTAGAATCCATGCAAGCTGCAGATGGACTGCGCGGTGTGCGTTCATGTTCATAGGAATGAGTGATAGGACGTCCCGGGATTTTCCGCTGGAAGGGAAGGAATTTTTCACCCTTACATCAAATTAGACCTCACAGTAGAATGTTTTTCTTCCTCTTTCTGGATCATCTACTTCTGAAAATGTCATTTATTTTTGTCAAAATAGGCAGAGTAGTGTTTTTCAGCCTATCCGTGTATCCAGTGTATGAAATGTATGCATGTAGGAAGGCCTATCCAATGTATGATTCATTTCTGCATGTTTAACTTGGACCTTTTGGTGACTTTATAATTCAGTCCTTGAGTTCCAGTAGGTGACTGTGCCCGGGCCGAGATGAAGTCATAAGTCAGTAGCTTTGCCTAGGCTGAGATAAGGTCATCAGTCGCTGACTTTGCCTAGGCTGAGATGAGGTCATAAGTCAGTGGCTTTGCCTAGGCTAAGATGAGGTCATCAGTCAGGGACTGTCCCTAGGCTGAGATGAGGTCATCATCAGTCGGTGATTTGCCTAGGATGAGATGAAGTCACCAGTCAGTGACTTTGCCTAGGCTAAGATAAGGTCATCAGTTGGTGACTTTTCCTGCGATGAGGTCATCAGTCAGTGACTTTCTCTAGGCTGAGATGAGGTCATCAGTCAGTGGCTTTGCCTAGGCTGAGGTGAGGTCGTTAGTCAGGAACTTTGACTTTTACTAGGCCGAGATGAAGTCATAAGTCAGTGGCTTTGCCTAGGCTGAGATTAGGTCATCAGCCGGAGGTTTTGCCTAGGTTGAGATGAGGTTACAAGTCAATGACTTTGTCTAAATGGAGATGAGGCCATCCATCAGTGGCTTTGCCTAGGCTGAGATGAGACTATCTATTAGTGGCTTTGCTTAGGTCGAGATGAGCTCATCAGTCAGTAGTTTTCCCTAGGCTGAGATGAGCTCATCAACCAGTGAACCAGTGGCTTTGCCTAGGTTGAGATGAGGTTACAAGTCAATGACTTTGCCTAGGCTGAGATGAGGCCATCAGTGGCTTTGCCTAGGTTGAGATGAGGTCACAAGTAAATGACTTTGTCTAAGCTGAGATGAGGTCATCCGTCCATGACTTTGTCTAGGCTTAAATGACCTCACAAGTACATGTCTTTACCTAGGCTGAGATGAGGTCATTCATCCATGACTTTGCCTAGGCTGAGATGAGGTAATTCATCCATGACTTTGCCTAGGCTGAGGTGAGGTCATCCGTCCATGGCTTTGCCTAGGCTTAAATGACCTCACAAGTCCATGTCTCTGCCTAGGCTGAGATGAGGTCATCCATCCATGGCTTTTCCTAGGCTTAAATGACCTCACAATTCCATGTCTCTGCCTAGGCTGAGATGAGGTCATCCATCCGTGGCTTTGCCTAGGCTTAAATGACCTCACACGTCCATGTCTTTGCCTAGGCTGAGATGAGGTCTTCTGGCTATAAGGTTTTGTAGCAAAGGCAGCTTCCTCAAAGGCACCAAAGGTCACCATATTACTGGTACAAAGAATTTTTGAGCAAATGAAGATGCTTAGCAGTTTGCAAAAGTGCAACATGTCCTACTTTTTTCTCAGCGCACCCCAACTTGCTGTCCATTGCATGGACGAGCCCCTAAGCACAGTACTGTGTCCTGCCTTTGAACACTCAAGTCCCACCAGCTGTATTGGGAGGGTTGGAAAAAAAAAGGACATGTTGTATTTTTGTGACGTTCGACCTGATGCCGCGCATACAATAAATAATATAAAGTTGGGTAAAAAAAAAAAAAAAAAAGAAGCAAACGCAACGTATTTTAGGAAGGCATTGCAGCATCTGTACACCACCGTGAGGGTTATGTGAATGAGCCCCTAGACATCCAGCTGTGTGAACGAACACTAAACCTTTTATCTAGTTCCTTACTGGTGCAAAAAGCCTGAAATCGGCCCGACGACACAAAGGGCCGGGGAGGAGAGGCTGAAATCGATAGCATTCCCTTTCAAGATTTAAGCAGAAACATATGTTTCCCCCTCTATAAAGCATGCTTCATTAGGTGTTGTGTCTGCCGCAGGAATCTCCCCCTCTCCGCCTGACCCCCGTAAACATTTTTCAGTAGGGGACCCAACAGGAAAGGCTGTTAAAATGTTGCCGCACAATGATGGCGGAGAATTAATAGAGAGTCACCCCTGCCTGCTCCGGCTCTGTGAATAGAGCCACCCTGCTGGTCTAAGCAGACACTTAGTTCTGAGTGACTGCCCTAATTACCGCCCAAATCTCCCACATCATACTTCTTTCCCTGTGCGCCCTGGAACGGGGCCCTGCGGTCCCCAGGTATTGTCACTGCTAGAGATGCTCAGGCTTCTTGCTAACGGGATGGGACTTTAAAGTGAACTCTTCAGTAACTCTACAAGTCTGCATAAATCGCGTACTGGCGTGTCACAATGTACTGCGACCGTATTTTTATATATATATATATATATATATATAATTATTATACAGGATTTATATATTATTTATACAGGATTTATATATTATTATACAGGATTTATATATTATTATTATTATTATAATACAGGATTATATTATAATACAGGATTTATATATTATTATTATACAGGATTTATATATATATTATTATTATTATAATACAGGATTTATATTATACAGGATTTATATATATTATTATACAGGATTTATATATTATTATTATTATACAGGATTTATATATTATTATTATACAGGATTTATATTATTATTATTATACAGGATTTATATTTATCATTATACAGGATTTATATATTATTATTATTATACAGGATTTATATATAATATTATTATACAGGATTTATATATTATTATTATACAGGATTTATATTATTATTATTATTATACAGGATTTATATATTATTATTATTATACAGGATTTATATTATCATTATACAGGATTTATATAATATTATTATTATTGTACAGGATTTATTTATTATTATACAGGATTTATATTTATTATTATACAGAATTTATATATTATTATTATTATTATACAGATTTATATTATTATTATTATTATACAGGATTTATCTATTATTATACAGGATTTATATCGAGACAACAGTTTGCTCTTTACATTGCGCTTTACAATATAACAGGAGACAATACAGCAACAATACAGTTCAGGTTCAGGCTCAGGCTCAGGCTTCTTGCTAACGGGATGGGACTTTAAAGTGAACTCTTCAGTAACTCTACAAGTCTGCATAAATCGCGTACTGGCGTGTCACAATGTACTGCGACCGTATTTTATTTATATATACATATATATATTTATATATATATATACAGGATTTATATATTATTATTATACAGGATTTATATATTATTATTATTATTATATTATTAATAAACAGGATTTATATATTATTATACAGGATTTATATTATTATTATATACAGGATTTATATATTATTATTATTATACAGGATTTATATATTATTATACAGGATTTATATATTATATTATTATACAGGATTTATATATTATTATAATACAGGATTTATATTATTATAACAGGATTTATATATTATTATTATATCAGGATTTTATATTATTATTATTATACAGGATTTATATATTATTATTATACAGGATTTATATTATCATTATACAGGATTTATATAAATATTATTATTATTGTACAGGATTTATATTATTATACAGGATTTATTTATTATTATACAGGATTTATATTATTATTATACAGAATTTATATATTATTATTATTATTATACAGGATTTATATTATTATTATTATACAGGATTTATCTATTATTAAACCGGATTTATATCGAGACAACAGTTTGCTCAGCGCTTTACAATATAACAGGAGACAATACAGCAACAATACAGTTCAATACAAGAGGGATAGGAGGGCCATGATCCTGGGAGCTTACAATCTAAGAGAGATATATATTATATATAATACAAATGGAAATGTAATTTACTTGTGAGCCACAAATTAAGCTCGCTGGCACTTAATCACATCATTTTTATATTTTATTTTTAATTTTCCTATTTTCCTATTTTTTATTCCC